TGAGGATGCACTGCATTTCTAGAGACTTGCACAGTGAAGACAGCATCTCTAATCTGATTTCTGTGTCCAGCTGAAATAGAAAAGAAAGGTAAATATTAATTGCAGCAACGTAAGACGCACACAATGGAGAAGTTCATGCAGTTCATTTTATTCAATGTGGGTTTTTTCTTCCATGTTACTTGGAGGGTATTTGTATTCTGTGCTGTATGTTTATATCCTAAGCACTATTTCATTTCAGGAAGACTTTCACTCTGAAATTCAAGGCCTATCTAATTCTAATTCAATGTCCAAAATAGAATTATAGTAAAGTCAGATTAAAAATTCTCTGGCTTGGATAACTAAGCCTTGCATGTGAAGTGAATTTTTTTACCCATTTAACTCATGCTACAAATATAATTCTTGTATTCCATTATATAGATTTAGAAGTCCAGGTTTCAGCGATGTTAGATCTCAGAGAGCTGAAAGATTGAAAGGAGCCATACAGCCAGCCAGTAGAACTCCATTCTTGCAGGTCAGGTTGAAGTGTAAGAGCAAAACAAGCCTGCATACTCCTGATCACACAAAAATACACTCTTAAATTAGGACTGACAGAAACCATTCTCTTCAAGTCCCTGTGACCGCTTTCAAGCGGTCTGAGCTGGCTTGTAAAGCAAGCTGGCTTTAGTGCCCAGTTTCATTTGGATGAGAAAATGTTATGTAAAGGTGAGAGATTGCTATCACTAAGCCCGGTGTCTTCAGCCCTCAAGCTATCACTTCATCCATCATCCGGTACTTTGGTGCAAGGGGGGGGGGGAAGAATATTAAATGTTAATGGAGATGTTAACTTTGCTCGTAAATATTTCAGTGAATGAAAAAATGTTTAAAAAAGGGTCAGTGGAGCTAATATGCTGACCAAATGGTTGAGAAATGATACTACACAATTTTTAATTAAATAATTTACTAATGATGAGTAAGTGCTTTATGGGTGCTATTTATAATCGTTGTCATAGATCCAGACCTTATTCCCTCCCACTTAATCTTACCACAAGCTAAACTACAGTCAACTTCAGGCAGACATTTGTTTGAGCAAAAGCTAAGGGAGAATGGTCCTCCCTGAGCTTTCTCTTTTCAAGGCTAAAAAACGACAGCACTCTCAGCTGCTTCTGTTATGTCAGTGTTCCAATATGTTAATTATTTTAATTGCCCTTCCCTGAACTCACGCCAGTAGCTCCATCTCTCTCCTGTACTGGAGATCCCAGAACTGGACATGGCGCTCCAGCCGTGGTCTCACCGGGGCTGAGCAGAGGGGAAGGATCACCTCCCTCCACCTGCTGTCAATGAGCTTAATGCAGCCCTAAGTACTGTTGGCCAACTTTGCCACAAGGGCACGTTGCTGGCTCGTGGTTAACTTTCTGGCCACCAGGAGCCCAGCTCCTCTTCTGCAAAGCTGTTTTCCAGGCAGCTGGCCCCGTTGTGTGCTGGTGTATAAGGTCATTCCTTCCTACATGCAGGACTTTGCACTTTCCTTTGTTTAACTTCATGAGATTCCTGTTCCACCACGTACAGGTGCCTCTGGACACCAGCACAACCCGCTGGTGTATCAGCCACTCGTCCCAATTTTGTATCATCTGCAAACTTGCTGAGTGTGTATTGTGGTCCATCACCTAGATCATGTAATGTCCAAGACCTGTTAGACAGTATTGGTCCTCGTACTGACTCCTGGGGCACACCATCAGTGACTGGCCTCCAGCTGGACTTCACGCTGCCCATCACAACTCTGAGCCCAGCCATTCAGTTCACCTCGCTGTCCACTTATCTGGTCTGCTCTTCTTCAGCTTGTCTAGGAGAATGTGCCCAGCCAGGTATACATAGATCAAACCTTGAGTTTGTGTTTGAGCTCTTGGTATGTGGTGATACTGAAACGAAATTGTGTGGGAATCACACCCTGTCATGCAACAAAATGCTCTGTGTATGAAAAAAAAAATAGTTGGGTCTCGGCTCCTGAGCAGGAATATCTGTTTAGACTGTGTTTGCACAAAATCCACTCTTGGAAGCCAAATGTATTTAAATTATTTCAACAGCTTGTACATATGGCAAGCTGTATAGTGAGGACTTTCTTTCCAGAGTTTCTGTGCATGAATGCTTAGAAACCGAGAGTGAGTTTGAGGGTTGCATTCTATGTTTGCCCAAAATTGACCAGTAAATTGTATTATCTTTTAAAGGATAAAATAACCAATACGCCTATGTAGTTAATAAAGAATAATCTTTCCCCCAATATATATAGTCTGAATAGAAAACACTAAAAGCTGAGAGCAGAATATTTTTTATTCCTGTTTTACAAGTGGGCATTTGAAAACCAGAGATTAAATTTACTTTCAGAGGGAGCCACTAACTAAGCATAATCTTTTAGATCATCATCCAAGGTCCTAATCACAAAGCAGCTCTTCCTTAAGGGAGTAATTAACAACTGAAGCCTGAGAGAAGTGCACTGCAGTGGCAGGCAGGCTGGAGACAAGGAGAAGACTGGAACCGAAGCTGCTTAGAAAACAGTTTTCAACAAAATGTCTCTTGCTGAGTCACAATAAAAGTGCATTGAGAGGAGAAAGAGAAGGTTTAAATAGCTTTATATAAAAAAAGTTTCTGCCTACCAGGTTAAGTAAAAATATCTAATCATGAAGTCTCCTGAAATAAGCTTGCAATGGAGTCAGCTCAGTCCATTAGATCACAGAATCCCAGCATGGTTGGGGTTGGCAGGGACCTCTGTGGGTCACCCAGCCCAACCCCCTGCCCAGGCAGGGTCACCCAGAGCAGGGGGCACAGCACCGCGTCCAGCCGGGGCTGGAATATCTCCAGAGAAGGAGACTCCACAGCCTCCCTGGGCAGCCTGGGCCAGGGCTCCGTCACCCTCAGAGGGAAGAAGTTCTTCCTCGGGTTCAGCTGGAGCTTCCTCTGCTCCAGTTTGTGCCCGTTGCCCCTTGTCCTGTCGCTGGGCACCACTGAACAGAGTCTGGCCCCGTCCTCCTGAC